ACTTGCCTGCTAACCAGACGGCTGGCGGTTCAAACCCACCAGCCACTCCTCGGAAGGAAGGTTGGGCAATCCTACTTCCGGAGTGATACTGCCTCGGAAATCCAAGGAGGGGTCGCTATGAGTCAGGTTTGACTCGACGGCAAACAACAACAACAACAACATACAGCAATTTTAAGCCAAAGCTGAGGGTGACTCCAAAGGTCTTCTTGTTCTTGCCTACAGGAAGTTGGAGACAAATTTCAGCTAGGAGTGTGGGTCCCAAGACTGAATTTCCCAGAGCCCACACAATGTCTGCCTCCATCTCTCCTCACAGATTCAATGATCATAGTTGCGACAGGAACTCCCCTGGCCACTTGATCCTTCCCTGCATGGGAAGAAAGACAGAATTGGCAGGAAATGCTTGGTGTCCTGCCACACCCTAAGAGGACATGGAAGGAAAGTGGAATCCAGCTCCCTCATTGTTTTATACTGAGAAAGTCTGGTTCAATGAAAGGAAAAGGAATTGTGCCAAGGTCACATAGCAAGTTGGTGGCAGAGCTGGGATTGATCCAGTGTTAAATGAGAGCCTGAGGCAGAAAGCCTAGATTCATATCACAGCCCCAAAATAGCTGATTCCAGAGAAAAAAAAAAATTTACATAGACAAAAGTTTCCTTTATCTGCATGTAAGGATTGTTCTGCCCATTGCATAAGCAAAACAAACATTCTCTCTCAGAAAATGCTTCTTTCCTTTATTATTATTGATATTTTCCTAATATTTCAATGTACTGAAAACATTTCAATAGGTTAAATGGTCATTTCAATAGGTTTAAAGCTTATAGTCAAGCATTTACTCTAAGCATCTGTCACATAGAGTAAACAAAATCATTCATCATTAAGGTATTTCTTTGTATTTGCTCTTCTGAAAGAGAAAACAGAAAAATCCAGTGGATGGTCAGAGGGCATGAAATCAATGATTCTAAAGACAGTAGCATTTTTGCTCCACATAAGAATAATTTGCACACCATCGAACTTTAGGTAATAGATGTTGTTAGTTGCCCTTCAGTCAGATCTGTCTCATGATGACCTTATATATCACAAATGTTCCCTGATCCTGTGCTATCGTTGTAATCATTGGGCTAGGTAATAGTAAAACCAAAAGAAAAAAGAAAAAAAATCACTGCCATTGAGTTGAGTCCTACTCATAGTGACCCCCATTGGGCTTCCAAGGATGTAAATCTTTGTAGAAATAGACTGCTTCATCTTTCTTCCGTGGAGTGGCTCGTGGATTTGAACCAGTAACCTTTTGTTTAGAAGCCAAATGCCTTATCTACTACAACACCAAAGCTCCAGGTAATAGTAGTAATTGTTATTTAATCACTCCCTCCGAAGTTTGTAAGAGTTTCTCAAATGGATACCACATAGTATAATTTTGCTATAATTCCTATTGTCCCCAACACATTGAGTTCTCCTGTACTCCGAACATAGTAGAAAATGGTGAAGATTTGTTGAGGTGAACATCTACTTATGTACACATTATCTCCCTATTTTCCTGTAGCTTCACTATACCAGAGTAATTAAAACTCACTTTAAGTTTCCAATGTTATATGGTACAAATATAATTTGTCCCATTATAGCTTAATTTTTCAGGTGACTTGTGGTTACTTATAAAAATGCTCATAGAAAAAGAAAGCAATCTTTAAAAATATAAACTAATAAGTTCCTTATTTACTATCTCAAAGATAAACTTATTTTTTAATTGACTACATACCCCTCAGAACATGTATAAACCACCTTTGCTCCATACTCAAACTCTGTTCCTACTGTGAGCTGAAAAGAACCAAAGGGAGTATCTCCAGGATGTCCACAGGGTTTTCCTATAATGAAAATAAATGATATAAAATTAGTGTATAATAAAGGGAAATACATTTCATGTAGGAGTTTGGAGACAATGATATTATATTAGAGGAAAGCAGTAGTTATGGAAAAGTAAAAGGAAATAGCAAAATTACCACTTTGTAATTTAACTTATCTATGCTTTGCTTTTTGAATATTGTAAGATCATAACCATATTTTTTAAAATAATGATACTGTATTGTTTTGTGTTTAAATGACAATACTGATAAAATTCAACCAGTGTTGGTATAATATCAAACTTTCAATATTTTCATAAACTTCACAAATGTATAAAGTACTTACTCCGACATATCCTGGATGGATGAAGAGCCACCCATTTTCCATGCTTGCATATCATTATAATACTTCCTAGAGTTCTAAATCCAGGGCGGCATTTATATAAAGCCTGAGTATTTTCTGGATATGTTTCATCAAGCCAGGAACCTGTCAGAATTTCTGAATCTTTTCTTGGAGGAGGTTCTTTACAATCTATGAACAATAAAAACAAAAAATTAGTTTTTAAATTAATGACTTAAATGTATAGTATACATAAGGCAATTTTGCCTTTAAAATATGCAATTACAGGTACATACAAAAATGTGTGTCACTATATAGTTACTGAAATGCATTCTACTATGTATTCACTCATTCAGGAAATATGTATTAAACAATGTTTTAAGTTTTGAGGGAAAAAAATGAGTGAAACAGAAAATCTTTGCTTTCAGAATGTTTATACTCCAGTAGGGAAATTGGTTTTTAAATAAGCTTCATGGAGATGAGTGCTATGCGTTAGAGGTTGGTAACCTTGACAGAAGTTCTATGCATGTGAATATGGGGAATGTTGCTTAAATGAGTTAATTATGGCAAAAGGGATAAAATGTATAATGTGAATAGCATATTTACAATGAAAGAAAAATATTGATTGAAGAAATGAGTAAATGGAAAATAATGACAAGAACAGAAATAAATGAAATCATATATATAAATATATATTGCTTTTAGGTGTCGTTTGTTCAGCTCTGACTCAATGACCCTGTGTACAAGAGAACGAAGCACTGAGAAAGAGAGACTGTGTGTGTGTGAGTATCAAGTAAGTCAGAAGCTACTTTTTTGACAAGATAAATAAAAGTGATAAAACTGCATAACAAGAAAAAAAGAGAGAGAGAGAGAGAAAAGGCACAAATAGCTATGATCAAATTTTAAAAAGGGGCAATGTCAGACAAATAGACCAGTGGAACAGAATCTAAAACCCAGAAATAGACCCATCCATTTATGGACAGCCGATCTGTGACAAAGGGCCAAAACACATTAAACAGGGGAGAGATAGCCTCTTTAACAAACGATGCTGGCAAAATTGGACATGCACTTGCAGAAAAACGAAACAAGACCCCATACCTCACCCTATATACAAAAATGAACTCAAGTTGGACCCAAGACCTAAATATAAAACCCAAAACTATAAAATTCATCAAAAGTAAAATAGAGGCAAATCTAGGGACCCAAATTTACTGCATAAATAGACTATCAAGCATAACCCAGAATGCACAAGCAGAGGAACAGGAACTGTATGACTGGGACCTTCTAAAAATTCAATTCTTATGTGCATCAAAAGACTTCTCCAGAAGGATAAAAAGAGAACCTACAGACTGGGAAAAAATATTTGGCTATGACATATCTGATAAAGGAGTTATCTACAAAATTTATAGAAAAATTCAACCCCTCAACACCAAAAGGACAAGCAATCCAATTAAGAAAATGGGCAAAGGACATGAGCACACACTTCACTAAGGAAGATACCCAGACAACCAACAAACACGTGAAGAAAAGCTCACAATCATTAGCCATTAAAACTCATTGCCATCAAGTCGGATAGGACTTGTAGTGACCTCTCCTTGCGTTTCCGAGGCAGTATCACTACGGAAGTAGATTGCCCAACCTTCTTCTGAGGAGTGACTGGTGGGTTTGAACCGCCAGCCTTCTGGTTAGCAGTCAAGTGCCTTAGGTACTATGCCACCAGAGCTCCTCATTAGCCGTTGTTGTTGTTGTTGTTGTTATGTGCTGTCAAGTTGGACCCAACTCATAGCGACCCCTCCTTGGGTTTCCAAGGCAGTATCACTACGGAAGTAGATTGCCCCATCTTCCTTCCGAGGAGTGGCTGGTGGGTTTGAACCGCCAGCCTTCTGGTTAGCAGTCAAGTGCTTAGGCACTATGCTACCAGGGCTCCCATTAGAGAGCTGCAAATCAAAACAACAATGATATATCATCCCACCCCAGTAATAATAGCAAAATTGAACAAGACAGAAAATAGTAAATGCTGGTGAGGTTGTGTAGAGATTGGAACTCTCATCCACTGCTGGTGGGACTGCAAAATGATACTACGATTGTGGAAAATTGTGCGACATTTCCTTAAAAAATTGAAAATAGAAACACCATTTGATTTAGCAATTCCATTACTAAGAATATACCCTAAAGAGGTGAAAGACAGGATACAAATAGACATATACACATCCATGTTCATTGCAGCACAATTCACTACAGCAAACTGATGGAAAGAACTTAAATACCCATCAACAGATGAAGGGATAACCATACTATGGTACATTAAAATATGTACCATAATGTACTTTAAAATTGCATAGTATTCCATAAAATATGGAATACTATGCAACATTAAAGAATAATAAAGAATACATGAATCATCTCACAATGTGTATGAATTTGGAGGATATTGTGCTGAGTAAAATAAGTTAATAATAGAAGGATAAATATCAGTCCATTATTGTAAAGTCAAGGAAAGGTTTACTCAGGAAAGGAATTTCACTTTGTTGGTTACTGGGGATGGAAGGAGGGAAGGGAAGGGAAATTTTTAGATTAGTTGGCGGTCACATGTTATTTGGATGAAGGGAGGGGCTGTGTGGAAAAAGCATGCGACCAGCATGGTGACATTGGAGAAAAGAAAGACACAGAAATGTGCACAAAAGATATAGACAGCAGAGGCAAATACTATCACATGCACAAAACTGCATTACCACTGCCCCCAAACACCAGGCTACAGGTAAATGCACAGACAGGTGAGACGATCAGGTGAGGGCAGATGAACAGGAATGCACCCTAGACCAAGGATAGAGTTGGCTGAAGACAATCTTACATAGGCACTTGTGCTACAATATCATCCACATAGATTACAGAAGCAACAGAAGACAGGGTTGGAGTAGCTTCTCAGAGATAACTAAATATCTGAAGAGAGAGAATCACTGGGCTTGTGGGCTTGGGACCATAGTCTCAGGGGACATCATGCTCAATATGCACCACTAGTATGGAGCTTTGGTGGTGTAGTGCCTTAGACATTTGACTGCTAACCAGAAGGCTGGTGGTTCAAACCCACCAGCCACTCCTCAGAAGGAAAGTTGGGCAATCTAATTCCATACAGACACCGCCTCAGAAACCCAAGGAGTGGTTGCTATGAGTTGAATACATTCAATGTCAGGAAGTTTGGTTTGCTTTTGAGTATATAAAACTCTTGTTCTCCATCCTATTTGGTGAACAGTGACTGGGGTCTTAAAAGCTTTTGACCAGCCATCTAACATGCAACTGTTGGTCTCCTGTCGTCTGAAGCAAAGAAGAGTGAAGATAATCAAAGTCATCTGGAAACAATTAGTCCAAAGATAAGATGGCCCACAATGACTTCAACTTTCATGACCTGGAGACAAGAAGAACTAGATGGTGCCCGGCTCCCAATGCCAAACACTCAGAAAGGGATTACAATTACAGATCCTGCCTAGAGTGGAAGAGAAAATGTGTGACAAAATTCAAAAACACAAAAATGAGCAAAATCACTGGTCAGACAGAGACTGATGGAACCCTCAAGATTCTGGCCCCAGGTTGCCTCTGGCCTAGAAATAATCACTTCCATGGATTGGCTCTCAGGCCAACAGTAGAAAGATCTACATGGAGAATACATACTTCAGAGAGATGTACTCACCTACTCTAGGAAGACACATTCCTTATATCAACCAGCCATGGGACATCAGAGGGACATCATTCACATAGATGGAAAGCTGGACAGACAGGAATGCATAGATAAGAAGAGCACAGGGAGGGAGGCTAGTCACAGGGAGGTGATGGGAGCAGGACTTTTTATGGTTGCAGATAGTAATCAGAGCTGTGAAATCAAATGTGCTTGAACTGTGAATGTAAAACAAATCTGCTTGTAAATTTGCACCCTACGCAAAATAAAAGAAGAAAGAAAGAAATTAGACATTGTATTACAAATCTGCTCCAAAGACCTCTTTAAAGTGTTGAAGAGCAAACATGTCACTTGGAAGACTGACATGTGTGCTTAATTGAATCCATAGTATTTTTCAATAGCCTCATATGCATGTGAAAGCTAGACAATGAGTACTGAAGATTTGATGTCTTTGAATTGTAGTTTTGACAAAGAATACTGAAAATATTCTGGACTACCAGAAGAACAAGCAAATCTGTCCTGGAAGAAGTGCAGCCAGAATGTTCCTTGGAAGCAAGAATGGCTGGGCTTCGTCTCACCTATTTTGGTCATGTTGTCAGAAGGGACCATTCCCTGGAGAAGGATATCATTCTGGGCAATGTGGAGGGTCAGTGAAAAAGGAGAAGACCCTCAACAAGATGTATCGACACAGTGGCTGCAAAAATAGGTTTAAGTATGGCAAGGATTGTGAGGATGGTGCAAGACTGAGCAGAGTTTTGTTCTGTTGTACATAAGGTTGCTATGAGTCAGAGCTGACTGGAAGGCACCTAACAACACTCTATCACCTAATTCTGGTAGTGTAGTGGTTAAGGTTAGTGCTTCCAATCTACCACCTGCACTGTGGAAGAAAGATGAGGCAGTCTGTTTCCGTAAAGATTTACAGCCTTGGAAATTTAATGGGGGTTGCTATGAATCAGAGTCGAAATCATAGCAGTGAGCTTGGGTTTTTTTTTTTCTTTTTTCTTTTCCTTTAGTTTAAAGCTGTGGTTATAATACCATTTAGGAAGGACTTTCCTGTTACATTAATTAGGCAGGATTATTGTCGAGTGTGTCTTCAATTAATCTCTTACAAGAGGTAAAAAGAGCAGATTAGGCAAGCAGAGATGGGATGGAGGAAGAGAGATGCCAAGACACATGATTACTTAGGAGGAGAAGCTCAAAGAGATAAGGATCTTCCCCCAAAGACACACAGAGAGAAAGCCTTTTCTAAGAGCTGGCACCATGAATTCAGATTTCTAGCCTCCTTGAGGTAGCGTAGTGCCTAAGGCACTTGACTGCTAACCAGAAGGCTGGCAGTTCAAACCCACCAGCCACTCCTCAGAAGGAAGGTTGGGCAATCAACTTCCATAGTGATACTGCCTCGGAAACCCAAGAAGGGGTCACTGTGAGTAGGGTCCAACTCGATGGCACATAACAACAATATAACAACAAGATAACTTAAGAAAAAAAAAAAGATATCACTAGAAATCTTCTTGATTAGTCA